TTATGATTTATTTTATGTAAATGGAGAAAAAAGGATCCCTTTAAACATTGGTGAATTGTTAACACCTGTAGGTTTAGCTTATTGGGCAATGGATGATGGTAGTAAACATGGTTCTGGTTTTCATATAAATACTGACTCCTATACTTTAAGTGAAGTAGAGTTATTAATTAAAGTTTTAAAGGAAAATTTTGATTTAAATTGTACATCTCACAAGAGAAGTAAAGATCGGTATAGAATTTATATTAAGGTAGATTCAATGAACAAATTTAGATCTCTTGTTACTCCACATTTCCATTCATCAATGATGTATAAACTTACTGTTAAATCTGATTAGATCATTATATAGTGTTATTTAAATCTTAAATAACACCCCCCTCGTCTGGATAGAATCAAAGACCTAAAGTCATGTCCATGGGCACATGGATGTTTTACATTAAAAATAGATAGAATGGTGTCTAGTATTTATATTCTAGTTGTTAACAAAGGTGATGGTTCTATAGGTATATTTCAGCATAGTTTAACCTTTGATTCTCCTAATTTTTGTAGAATTTATCTTAGTTTAACTCAACATAAAAATAATCTTTTTTTAATTAATGAGATTAAATCTTATTTTAAGGTTGAAATTAAAACAAAAGTTCAAATTAATAATACAATACAATTATCAATTGAGAATAAAGAATTATTTAGATCTGTAATAATCCCTTTCTTTAATGAATATCCTTTATATGGAATTAAACTTAATAATTTAAATAAAATTATTAAAATATTATCACTTATTACTAAATATAATATAAATAGATCTAATCCTTATACACCAGAAATTAAAAAACAAATAATTAATATTTGGTTTACGTAATTAAATGTTTTAGTTAGTCAAATGACTTTTATAACCCCTTCGTTTCGAAGGGACTCCTTAAATAAGAATCTTCAATTTATAGGATGGCAGGTATGAAAATACAAAATAATGGAGCCATTTAAAAATCCCCCTTCTATTCTCATAATTGTAAAATCGAAATTCTCGTCCATGCCCTTATTATTGCCGGATTATAAATTATTTCTATATAACAGTATTGATATGTAAAATTATTTTGGGGAAAAAATAATTGATTTTTATCGATTGTTCGATTCTTTCAAAAAAAAAAAAAACAAATAGGGTGGGTGGATGGGGCATTTTATATTAAAGTAGGTGGTATCTTATATATGTGAAAAGTACTTTTTATATAAAAATGATTTTTGTTTTAAGAAGTATAAATAATACTTTATAGGCAGTCTATAAGATAGGTTATTGTAAGGTGACTGAAACGAAATAATCTTATGATAGACGTACCCTTTATCTAGGATTTGTGGTTGAAAGTTATTTTATCTGCATAAAAAATTGCTCGTATATAAAAACGGACGAGGTGTGCAATTCACTGTGCTTGAAGATCAAACCAATGAACGGATAGCCGATATCTAGTTAGATGATCGTTTTCTTTATTTAGTTCCCTTAATTAATAAGTAATTTATACATTCTGCTGTGGAAGCTCTGCAGAGAAATGCCTGAAATGGAAAACAAGTGCTTGATTGGTTAGTTACCCCATGGTGCAGATCCTTTTTAATTGTTTGAAAATCCTAAGTTTAATCAATTAATTATTTAAAGTTGATAAATGGAATACGTCTTCTCAAGAGTAGCTTAATCCGGGAAATACTACACACAGTTTTATTTATAAGGATAAACTAATAAAGATGGAAGTCTACAGTTTATTTATTTAAGCAAGATCTTAACCAGAACCGTTATAACTGTATGTTAAACAGTTAAAATTGCCTAGGGTTTAACATTTGAGTTCCTTCTTTTTATTGGGTCTAGAGATTTAACTCTACTAACGGTCTACTAGACCGTTATAGTCCCTCACCTCTCAGGAGTTTGTACACTATACAACCTAATTAATCTGAATACTCTTACCTGGATGTATAAAATACACAATGAAATATAACTTTTTAAATTTATTTGGCTCTAACAAAGCCTTTTTCGCTGGTTTTAATGGGTTAATCCCATCTTGTGCTGATTTTTATGGGTTTTTACCCAATTATACTATTTTTAATGCTAAATTTTATTATTATTTTTTAGTTTTCTTTAATAATAAATTTATTTTAACTTTAATTATTTTTATGTTTTATAATATTTTTTCATTATATTTTTCTAATAATATTGTTTATTGTATGGAAGATATTAATGATAATGTTTCTTCACCTGAATCTGATAGTAATATAAATTTTAAAAAACGTAAATTTGATCAAACTGATAATATTTTGTCTGGTGATGGAAGTGATATTATAAGAGATAATAATGTTATTAGTAGCAATGCTTTAATTCCTTCTTTTCCAGAGAGTGGTTTAGTGGTAGATAGTAATGCTACAGTATCTGTACCACCTTCTAACATTATTATTAATTTAGATAATGCTTTTAAATATGTTGGTGTAGGACTTGGTATTGGTAGTGCTGCTTTAGGTGGTGCTAAAATCATTAAAGCATTGCCTCCAAGTAGTAGAGCTCCAGCTTTAATTACTATAGCAGGTATGGCTACTGCCTATAAAGCAGCTATAGATGGTATGGAGTTAATATATAAATATGGAAATACTTCAAGTAATACTGATCCAAGTAGAGATAAAAGTTCTATTTTAAGTAAAAATATACCAATATCTAAAGATATTTCTATAGATAGTACACTTAAATATGATGATTATTCTATTAAAGTTAAACTTGAAAATGATACATTAACTTTAAGTGATTTAAAAAAACGTAATAGTAATACTAGTTCAGATGTTATTACTGAAAATTTAAATGTAACTGACAATGATTATTATACAATTACAGATGATAGTTATAATATAAATTCTGTTTTAGAAAATGGTGATTTAATTACTATTTTCAATAATAATCCTTATTTAAAACTTGAAGGAGTTTTATTCTTTACTTTAAGTTTAATGCTATATAGTTTAATAGCATTAACTATAATAAATATTCTCTCCAAATATGGTAATAATCTTAATAATTATTTTAAAAATAAATATATCCTAATGTATATTAATTTAAATAGAAAGTATCTAAATATATTAACTTGGGTTTGGATAGCTATTTTATTTTTCGGAATTGTATTATGTTTAGCAATTTCATATGTTTTAATAGATACTTATGATATGTATTGCATACAATCCCCTTATTAGAAATTATAGTTTATCAACTAAAATAATAACATAGTAAAAACTTAAACTCTCCCCCCTTTTTAAAGGGAGAGTCCTCATAGTAAATACAATTGTTTAAACTTAATTGTTTATTAAACCTCTATAAACGAGGATGGCAGTATTAAATATAAATTTAAGGAGCCATTTAAAAATCCCCCTTCGGGAACGAGCAGCGGAGTAGTTATCAACCAAGGGATTAAAAATCCCCCTTTGTATTATATGTGCATTTTTAAGAATATAAGCATTTTTAAGAATATATGAATAATATAAAGACGGGTTACCCTTAGTAATTAAGTTATGAATCGAAAATTATTTTTTTTTAATTTACCTTTAACTCAACGTTTAGAAATTCGTAAAATTTTATTAGATTACTCTGGTGGAATATACATTTTTAAAAATAAAGTTAATGGAAAACGATACGTTGGTTCTTCAATAAAATTAGTAAAACGTATTTCTAATTATTTTGATTTAAATCCTAAAAGAATTTCTCCTATAATTTCAAAAGCTATAAAAAGATATGGTTTAGATTCTTTTACTTTACAAGTATACTGCTTTAAAGATATTAGTTCAGAAGCTGTATTAACTCTAGAACAGTATTTATTTAATGTTTTAAAACCAGAGTATAATATATTAAAAATAGCGGGTTCTACAGCAGGTCATAAATTTCCAAAAGAATTTGGAGAAAAACGATCTGCTATAAATCTAGCTAGAAATTGGAAGAAAGAATTACATCCAAGCTGGAATTCTGGTAAAGAAGTTTATTTATATGAGATTTTAGAAAATAAATTAATTCTAAAAGAAATAAAGTATTTTACAAAGGATTTTGGGTTGGTACAGATCCTTTAACAGTATTAAATGATAATATTATTAATAAACCAGTTTTATCTAATTTTTCATATGATAATTATTTATTTATTAAAGAACATGAGTTAATTAATTTTTTTAAAAATAATACGCAGAGTTATCCTGTAAATAATTATGTATGTGCCTCTTGCGAGGGATTAATTAAAAATACTTCTTTAGTATTATATAAAAAACTCCCGGGAGCCGCCACCGGCATTTCTGCCGGGGTCCCGGGCTCAAATACAAGTTTAACTATACTCTATTCTTAAACAAGTTTGGGATAAACTTGAATAAATCTTAAGAAAAATAAAACAAATTCAATAAAAAAAAAATAAAAAAATTATAATTAAAAACAACAAGTTTTTACCCTTTCTATATATTGTGTTTATATGGCCTCTAATATAGGAGGGTTTTTTTTCTAATAAGGGGAGATTCTAATAAGGGGGATTGTTTTTTACTTTTATTTATCCAATCACTTATCAAATCTTCTAGAATTATAATAAGAAGTAATATTAGAAATAAGAATAACAGTGAAAATAAAGTAGGGTAACTTGTAAATCCAGGTAAATAACCTCCGTAAAAAATTAAGATATAAGTTTATTAAGTGAAACATTGTTTTTTTTTAATTGAGCTGAAACGGTAGGCTCTCCGTATTGATAAAAAGAGTTAAAATTTAATCCGCCCACAGGCAGACAGCAAGATAAAATTTATCTTTTGTTTATATCCGAAGGTACTTAATTAGTACCCCTCATAATAACGAATGCAACACGAGATAGAATCGAACTATCATTTTACATTTAGGAAATATATGTTATACCTTTTAACTATAGTGGTTATTCTTAATTTAAATTAATTGTTTTAATTATTTTGTGGTAATTATTTTCTATGTGGCTAACAAATTATATAATAAAATATATTCTAATATATGTATAGAAGAATATAATTTAATTGGTAGAATGTCTAACTTTTAATTAGTATCATATGGGTTCGAGTCCCGTTGTATTCAATGCTTTTAAGATATCTATTTGTATCTTGCTGTTTAGCTACGGCTAAATTAATTTTTAATTTTTTATAATAATATTATATGAGAATGCTATTCAAAGAACAGCCCGAATTATTTAAACTACTTATCGAATCAATAGATTGGAAAAAAGCTAAGAATGTAATAGTTATAATAGACCCTATTGAAGGAGAGTTAAATATGCGCTATTTAGAATGTGGATACTTTATTGAAGTATATGTAAAACCAATGGAAAAAAATCCTAAACTGAAATCTGACTTTATGATTGTAGCACTTCCAGATGATAATGCTACAACAGCATGGGAAACTTTCCAACGGGACAACATAATTGAATAAAATATTCACACCCCCCCCCCTATGATCTATTATTTGTCAAATCGGCCTACGCTGAGCGGATGGCTTGGTTAGTTATATATTTATATTCGATAATCATATTAATAAGTGGTCTAAATAAAAATATTACCAGAAAAATATAAATAACAAGAATTGATTAAAAGATAATTTAATTAAAAACATGTTTTTATTAACAGGTTACTTTATATATTTATATTGACAACATATACAAGATTGGCTAAAGTTTTTAAAGGTTTAATATTAAATCCTTATGTGATAGTATTAGTAGTTATACTAATTTCTATATTATTAAACGATAATGTTATTTATTGTGTTGAGGATGCTAATAATTCTATTAATAATAATCCTACAAGACAAAATAGGTTTAATGAAAAATGGAGAGAGTTTATGGACACACCTATAAGAATTGAAACAACTCCTAGTAGAATTGGGTCATTGCTAACCAATGTAGGTTTATCTGGTGTTGGAGGTTATGCAATATACTATGGAATGAAAACAGGTGGTTGGGCTGCAGAACATTTTATGGGTACACCTTTTACTAAAGGTGCTCTAATAGCATCTGGTCCGGTAATAGGTGGAACTTATGGTTTAATGTTTCATGCTATTAATAGAAGAGCTGCTCCAAGAGGGCCTTTTATAGATGTAACAGTAAACCCAACAAATGATGCATCTGGAATAAAAAATGATGTAACTAATATAAATTCAGTTTTAGAGCCTGAGATTTTCTATAATTTCTTTGGTAATATTAACCCTATAGCTGATAATCCAGATATAGCACTATTATCTTGTGGTATAATATTTATAATTACTGCTATTCATTGCTTAAATTTTATATTAATACGTTATTTAATATTAAGATACTCTAATAATATTATTAACTATTTAGAATCTTATAAATCAATGTTAAAAGTGTTTAAACATGTTAAAAATATATTAGAAAAATCATATAGCTTATACATAACCGGTTTTTCAATTTTAGCTTATTTATCTCTTATAGGAGCATTAATTGCTACTACATCTTTACTTAATTTTATAGTATAATAAACACCCCTTTGAGTAAATTTTAAAAAGAAAAGTGGAACGAGCAGTGGAGTAGTTATCAACCAAGGGATTAAAAATCCCCCTTAATGTCTAGATTAGTCAAGTGACTTTAAGAGGGCTATTTATAAGATATTTAATCGTGGAAATAAAACAATGAATAATAATAATTCGAGTTTAGCTTGGTTTATAACAGGATTAACTGAAGCAGAAGGTTGTTTCAATATTAATATTTAAAAAACTAAAGCAGGTAAAAAACAGCTAAATTGAGATTTTCAATTGCTGTAATGGAAAATGATCTAGAATTATTAAATTTAGTAAAAGATTATTTTAATTGTGGAACTATCTAAGAATCTCGTTCTAATGGTATGAGACATTTTACTGTTTCTAAAATATCAAATATTAATGATATATTTATATCACATTTTCAATCTCATCCTTTAAGAGGTACTAAATTATTAGATTTTGAAGATTGGATATTAGCTGCTAATATTATTAGTACTGAAGGTCGTCACTTGACTTCAGAGGGGATAATTGAGTTACAAGATTTATTAGTTGGGTGTTAAAATACAACATAATTGTATCGAATAGTTTCCTTCTATTTTTCAGAAATATGATCTGAATTAACTTTTTCTAAAACGAATAAAGATAATTTCCATTGTTCTTTAAATATCTTATCATTTCTTACATATTTAAGTATGGTATTTTGAGAACATTCAAAATGTATACCAGCTTTTCTAGCTGAACTAAAAGTATTTACTAATAAACCTTGAACATCATAAACATAAATTGCAGTACCTTTAGTAGCACTCATTTTTGCTAACGTTTCAGCAGAATGAGTTTTATTTAAAAATGCACGTGGATGATTTTCACCAATTTTAGCTTTTCTCATTAAAGCTATTGTTTCAGTAGAATGAGTTTTACCCAACATCCCACGTGGATGGTTCTCTCCAGATTTCAGAAAAGCTTTTCTAAGTAGACTCATTTTTGCTTTAGTTGTAGCATAAAAACTATTTCTATATATCTCAAAAGTGGAAAAATTTTTCAAAAGAAATGGGTTTTATCTTCAACCTTAAATTTTAGGCAGCCAAGTTAACTCAGATTCTCCTTTAAGAGGGGAAAGACTCTGAGGAATAGAAAATGGGCTATTCAATACGATAAAACTATTTTAACACCCCCACGAGAGTTCCCAAATACATTTGCTCTAATTAATCCTTCATTTTTAATAGAAAAAGTTTGAAAAACTGTTTTTTTATATATAATAATAATATATTAGGATGATAGTTTAATTGGTAAAGCAGTCGATTCCAAACCGACCAATGGAAGTTCAAGTCTCCCTCGTCCTGTAATAACACCAGTTTAGCTTTGTATCTTAACAAAGAAAATAAAAAGGTAAGTGGTCATTAAAATATCTTACCGTTGAAATATATGATTAAATTTGTTTTTTGTACAAGACCCATTTTTAAAATTACAATGTTATTCAAATTATTTTCAATTGCTCAATCCCGACAATATACTAAATTATCTGGAACATCTTCTTTAACACCAATGACTCCTATTATGATTTATAGCAATGCTGATATTGATAAATTAAGAATTTTATTTGATAATAAGAATAAAACTGGTATCTATCAATGGCAGCATGTGGAATCCGGAAAAATATATGTAGGTTTCGCATTTGATCTATCAAAACGATTATCTAATTATTATTCTATAGGGTACTTAGTTCGTTTTAAAACTAGTCATATTCATAATACTTTACTTCATCACGGTCATTCTTCATTTTCCCCAACTATGTTGGGGTATATCGATATTACGAATTTATCTAAAGAAGAGGCTCGTAAATTGATATTAGAACGAGAGAATTATTATTTAAAAACGCTTGCCCCTACATATAATATACTTAAGATTGCGGGTTCTCCCTTAGGTCATAAACTCTCAGATAGTACTAAATTAAAGATCAGTGAAGCAAATAAAGGTAAATTTCTTTCGGATGAGACTAAATTTAAAATTAGTGAAGCAAATAAAGGTGAAAATAATCCAATGTACGGTAAAACTCATTCAACTGAAACATTACTTAAAATGAGTAATAATTATACAGGTAATAATAATTCTTTTTTTGGTAAAACTCATACAGCAGAGGCTTTAATGAATATTAGTCTTTCTAATAAGGGTGAAAACCACCACATGTTTGGTAAAGCCCATTCTTTAGAGGCACTCAAAAAAATGAGTGAGGCTAAAAAAGGAAATAAAAATTCAATGTATGGAAATACTCGTACAGCTGAGACTTTACTAAAAATGAGTGAAGTCAGAAGTAAGAAAGTTTATGTGTATATAAATGCTAATCCTCCAGTTTTATCACAAACCTTTAATAGTCAAACAGAAGCTTCTGTTTATTTTGAATGTAGTAATTCAACGATTTCTAAATTCAAAGATTCTGGGAATTTTTATTTAGGAAAGTGGTTAATATGCTCTAAAATTATTAGTATATAATAATTGTATTCTTTATGTGTGGTCTTATTTATTTAGTACTAGATCTTAATCAAGTATTTAAAGGTCAATTAGCTGTAAAATCAGTTAACACCCCTTCGTGGGGGATGTCAAGCTCTAATATAAAAGTATTAATTAAGGATGTAGTTTTAATTAAAGCGCGCAACCCTAATCAAGAGACTGAAGGTACAAGTCCTCCTTTTCTTGAATTACTTTGTAAAGTGTAAAATTACTATGAAATAATGAAATTAATCATTATTTAAAATAGCTTTCCTTTAAGAAGGTTATAATTATGGGATTTATATTAATTATAATATGTACAAAACTAACATTCAGGCCCATCCCTTCCATTTAGTGGAACCATCACCATGGCCATTAGCGGCTTCAATAGCTTTATTAACTACTACACTTAGTGGTGTTATGTATTTTAATAACTATGCCAATGGTGGTTTATTATTAACATTAGGTTTAATTTCTACTGTATTATCAATGTCATTATGGTTTAGAGATATTATAATAGAAGGAACTTTCCAAGGATCTCATACTTCTAAAGTACAACAAGGGTTAACATTAGGATTTATTTTATTTGTTATCTCTGAAGTATTCTTCTTTATTTCTCTTTTCTGGGCTTTCTTCCATTCAGCTTTAAGCCCTACTGTAGAATTAGGTTGTGCATGGCCTCCAGCAGGTATTGAAGTTATGAACCCTTGGGAGGTACCTTTATTAAATACTGTACTTCTTTTATCTTCTGGTGCCACAGTAACGCTGGCTCATCACGGATTAATCCAAGGTAATAGAAAATTCACTATCTATGGACTTTTTGCTACTATTGCTTTAGCAATACTTTTCACAGGTTTCCAAGGATTCGAATATATCAATGCTCCTTTCACAATCGCAGATTCAGTTTATGGAAGTACATTCTATTTCACAACAGGATTCCATGGATTCCATGTACTTATTGGAACAATATTTATAGCTGTAGGTTTATATAGAGTTATAAATTATCATTTTACTGATTTCCATCATGTTGGATTAGAAGCTGCTATTATTTATTGGCATAAATAAAATTGTGCAAAATGTCAAAGTGAACTCGTAAGGGTTAT